ATTTCAAATGATATTGACAGTTTCAGGAATAGGAACTTTGGTAAAGAGGGATTCTACATCGAAACTAACCAGAATATCTTGTGTATCTAATGTAATGCTTTTAAATTCTTCAAAGAAATGAAAGGAATTAAGTAGGAAACTATCGGTTTTCCCTGTAAAGGGTTTTTAATAAGCTCCAAAGAAGCTAATAGAATGATTGGCGAAACATCAGCAATTTCGATTCAGCAAAAACCGATGCAGGAGGAATCCAGAAGTTTTGTGAAAATTAATTGAATTATTACTTTAAAATATGTCCAAAAATCGGTTCATTGTTTTCAAAATTAAAAGGTCTGTCCAGAACTTCATTGAGTGGTTGACCATTAAACATATCTCACAAAATAATGTTTTTTATATGTTTGGGGTTCACGCCAACTGTTCCTCCGCGTCTTAAAAGTTTATCAATTACATTTTCCATTGCGATGAACAGATACTTTTTAAACCATAATAAAAACAAACTCAACCTTTTAATGTAAATTCAATGGAGAATGCAAAAAGGACCTAATAGTTAAAAACGTTGCACCATGAGCCTGAATTACAACCTGTTTCTATTCTGCCAAACATCATCATATATACCAAATGGAACTAAATTTAATCCGAGTTTGGAAAATAAGTATTAAACCGAACAAATTAACTAAAAACGTGTTTCGAAGCCCGGTCACCGTTCATGCAAAAATGTACAATTTAATATTCGCAACGAAATATCAAATTAAAATTTAAAGTGTAGTTCGCGTTCGCCATTTAAAAATTAAATTGTTTATTCCAATTTTCCGCAATGCGAAAACAAATGGGAATAATCAGTTTACAACTTTGAATTTACAAGATAAAGTAAACAAAAATAAAAAACGTATGAATTTACTGCACGCAACACGTGATCCGATAAAACCAATTCGAGGCAATTGTTTATGCCCCATTTTGAGACAGTTTCGTGTTTTAATTGCCAACCAGCTGCTGGTGTAAATGCGGCAGCATGACGCGCTAAATAAATGTTTTCTTACGGTTGTATTAGTATCCCGTTTCCAATACACTCGCGGGATATCTTAATTACGTTTAAAGATAAAAAAATGCCGTTTTCGCAATAGTGAAGAAGAGAAAAATATAACCAAATCAACCACGAGAGAATACTGTAAATAATTTTTGACTTTCTCGGGATATAATTGGCTTTTGAAACCTGGCTTCTGCCAAATTTTTAAGCTACGAAAAATTCAAATCTTTTTAGTACCTCGTTGCCCTTATTGGGACACACGGTATATCCATATTTTATTTTAATTGAGAATCCATTAGACTTTTCAAAAATATGTTTGTTAGTACAGTTATTTTAATTATAACATTTCTTCTAACATTCTAACCAAAACCAATAAAAACTGCGGAGTAAGATATACAAAACACCATAAGCATCTGCTAGGAAATAAAACTAACCTCCCGATGTTCAAGAAAGGTTAACGATCTTTTTTTGGTTAGTTAGTGGGTAACTTTGGAATTGATGGATGAAATACCACGAGTTCTTTTCAAAAATATATAAGTGATATTAAGTAATGGGTTACAACAAGAAACAATTTAGAACCAAGGATTTTGAAAGGTATTTCTCAAAATGGACTCCTTTCTCAAAAAATCAAAATATATAGGAACTAAAAGTTCAGATTTTTACGAAATTATATATAATGACATGACAATTGTTACGACAACACTGTGTCTTTATCAAATGTAATATTGACAAACTACCTGCTGCCACATATAATTCAAGTTCAATAAAGGAGAGGTATTTAAATCTAATTGATCGTTAAACAATACACGTTAATCTCCATGGCTTCCAATAAATTTAATTTTCTACTTTTTTGGCTGTATGTAAAATATCAAAATTTTCGTCAAAAATGTGTTTTTCTGTGTTTAAGTGTGTAGCATAATTAGAATCTAAACTATTGTTTTTAAACGCTCCTTGATGTTCGTTAATGCGTTTCTTGAAGGATCTACCCGTTTGTCCAATATAAATTTTAGGGCAAGATCCACATTTCAACCTGTAGACACCTAATTTTTGGGATTTTGGACATTTCGTTTTTTTTTTAAATATTTTCCTATTGTGTTGTTAATTCTGAAAGCTATTTTTAAACCACATTTTGACAAATGTTTTGAAACTTTTTCACTAGGTTCTCCTATGTATGTAATGGTTTTAAATTGTTCGTGTTCTGTATTAGGTTTCGGATAAATAGAGTTTACTGTTGTCTATTTGTTTTTTATTTATAATTTTATCTATAATGGACGGATTGTAGCCGTTGTTCGGTGTAATTTGTTTAATGATATTTAAGTTCTTTGTTGTAATTTTCTGTCGATAGTGGCGTATTAACAAGTTCTTGGTTGTAATTTTCTTTTGAGAGTGGCGTATTAAGAAGTCTATGTATAAAAGAGTTAAATGCAGCCATTTTGTGTGTATAAGGGTGATTTGAGCTGTTATGTATAACTGTGTCCGTGTGTGAAGGTTTATGATATATTGAAAAATCTAATTTGTTTTGCGCTTCCGTAATAGTTAAGTCTAAAAAATTAATAGAGTTATCCTGTTCAATCTCGATAGTGAATTTTATACGATTATGTAATGAATTAATGTAATTTAAAAAAGAATTCAATTGTCTGTCCGTTCCAATAATGCAACCAAACACATCATCCACGTATCTATACCACCCTAAAAAACTTTTACTTAAAGAATGTTCTAGTATGATATTTTCCAAATTATCCATAAAAATCTCGGCTAACAAAGGACTAAGTGTGTTTCCCATAATAAAACCTTCTTTAGAGATATAAATCTGTCCATTAAATTCAAAATAATTTTGGTCTAAAGATACTATTAAGCAATCTAATAAATCTTGTTTCACCAATGGGTTAACCTGTTTCCGAGTTAGGGTAAAATCTACTAAATCTCTCACATCCATAGGTGGAATACTGGGAAATAAGTGATGTACATCAAAAGACAATAGTGTTGTGTTAGAAGGGATTTTTATATCTTTAATTTTGTTGATTAATTCAAAAAAAAATTTTATTGCAAATTTTGGTTTAAAATCTGTGTGGAACTTTAAAATATTTACTAATTTTGTAGGGTTTAACTGCTGGAGCTGAACTTCTAGTTCTTATTTATTTTGATAAATGGATTTTCATCAAGTAAAAGCCACCGCAGTTCAATCCTTTGTTAAAAATTTTGTAATATTTTGAGTTAAGTACTTAAAAAAGGTTTAGTTTGAACCTTCAACTTTTAAATGTTACTTTATTAATGTTTACAAAGTTTTGCTACATATGCGTATCCTGTTTTGCAGATCTGTTTTGAATACATTTAAAAAAAAATAAAAAATTGACAGATTGGGAGAATACCTTAAAGTTTTTGGTATTCGGGTTATTATATATATATATATATATATATATATATATATATATATATATATATATATATATATATATATATATATATATATATATATATATATATATATATATATATATATATATATATATATATATATATATATATATATATATATATATATATATATATATATATCTATTTTTTTTAATGTTTTTTTTTAAGAACGATAGTGGGTAAATACATTTCACTTTTTGCCATCTCCCATTTCACATCACAGATTAGGCCTAGGGGGGGGCCTGTTTCTCCCCTGTTTCAGTCCATAAGACGAACGTGGAAATACCAGTTTTTTCGATATTCAGTTTTTTTTTTCTATTGAAAATATGTTTAATTCGCTTCTCATATCTCTATATTTCTTATATAAACTAGTCTTGTACATCCCTCTACCCCCTTATATTTTTTTTATTTATTGCCGCAAATTTCAGTTGTGTTTGTCGTTTGCACTGTGTTGTGAAATTTCTCTTATGGTAGCATATTTTATTAAAAGTTTATTGTTAATGTTATGATTACATCTGTATGTTATTTATTCTAAGATATTTTGATCTTATTGTATCTTTACCCTTAAATGCTATAATTTTTGTTTTAATTTTGGAAAATTATAGTCCCTGAACATGGCGTCAATGACGGGTACAACTTTCTGAAAGTCTGGTACTGCTTGCTTATCGGCATAAATCAATATTTTTAACTCTATTGTACGGTATAGTTGTATTACTTTAAGAGCTCTGGCACTCTTTTGTGAAAATTGGATATGCTGTAAAATAGTCAAAAACTCGCATACCACACAACAAATTAACTAGCATTATTTCGAAGTTGTCTTTCATTTTAAAATATTTTCAATTTGCTGTCATTTATAACATCACTTCGGATATTTTTACATAAACGCAAACCGATTTACTTATTTCTGTTGCGATTTTTTACTTATTTAAAAGATTATTTATATTATATATTATTAATTATTTAGAAGATGAACTTTATATCGAACGAAGTGTGTCATTTTCTATAGATAAATAGTTGTTATGAGCTGCAATTTTTTTTTTTTGAACATAGAGTGGTGAGCCTATGCGATACAGAGTGGCGAATATGAATGAATTTTTATATAAAACCAGATCAGGAGGCCAACCTATATCTTCCTTATCTTTACCTTACCTTATCTTCAACTAAACTTAGTTTGGGAATCTTTCACCACCCACCATTAACACGAGTTAAACTGTTTACCAACCACAAGTGACGGAAACAAGAGTGGAAAGAATTTATTAAGTCAGCAAGAGCAGTCACTTTGCCGATTTTAGTCCTACAGATGAAAATGAAGATAAAGAGCAAGGGAAGTAAAGTTGACCAGATCTACTAGGAATTATGTACCAGCAATATTGGAAGTGGGGTGTATGGGTGACGCTGTAGGAGTAGCACCTTTGCTGCGAAATGGCCACACCCAAGCATCTGCGAAGGTGGTTTCAATGCACTGGTCTCCACAGGGTCTCCAGCTCTCACTTGTTGGCTCCAAGCGCCACACCCTGGCAAACTGCGTTGGCCCGCAGGCTAAACCAAGTGAGGGTAGCCAGATATGGCGATAAGCTATTGTTGGGCAGCAGCAGCAATAGTACCATGTGGCGGTGCCGAAGATGTACTTCACACACAGCGTTACAATGGATGTGGGAGGCGCGACTGTGGGAGTCTCAACGGCTTCCACACTGCGGTGCAGAAGGGAAACGGAAGTCCCACTACACTATATTTCCATATATTCAACATGGCTAAAATAGATATAAACGCGGCCCTCAGTCCGGGGCACCCCTTAAGTGGGGAGAGGGTGCGAAGAATCCCCCCGTCCTTAGAAACTAGCAAAATGCAAATACATAGAAATAAAATAAAATTTGCTACATGGAACGTACGTAGCCTATACATGGCAGGAAAACTCGCCAATCTAGATGCAGAAATGCATAGACTCCAGATCAAGATCTTGGGGCTAAGCGAGGTGCGATGGCCAGGTACTGGGACTCACAGGACTAAAAATGGTGTCCTCTACTACTCTGGTGGCGACGATCCTAAACACCAGTATGGCGTAGCTGTGTTCATCTCCTCTGAACTGGAGAAATCCGTAATCGATTTTATTCCACTCGGGGAACGAGTGATGCTTCTGAGACTGCTCACTACTCATAGAGTTATGAATGTGATTCAAGCGTATGCTCCAACAGGGGACAAGTCTGATGAGGTGGTTGAGGATTTCTACTCTACTTTAGAAGAAGCCATGAAAATAACAAAACAAGGGGAGTTAACAATTGTTCTTGGCGACTTCAATGCCAAAATCGGGAAGGGTGCTGATGGCGAGGTTTGCGGTGACCAAGGCCTTGGAACACGCAATACTAGAGGTGACCGCCTGGTACAATTCTGTACAGAACACCGTCTCTCTGCTGCCAACACTTTTTTCAAACAGCATCCTCGACGTCTGTATACGTGGAATTCCCCAGTCGATCGTGATGGCCATATAGTGAGAAATCAAATAGATTTCGTCCTCATCAAGAGTCATCTAATGAAGTTTGTTAAATCAGCAACAACATACCCTGGTGCAGACGTAAACAGTGACCATAACCCCGTGGTGATAAATCTACAGCTTCGTTACTTCACTAGAGTCCAACGTCCAAAACAACCTAAGCGAATCGATGTCAAAAAACTCGTTGATCCCGATATACGAGCTAAAGCAACCGAGAGTCTCGAAGCGCGTTTACAAACAATAAACAATTATAATGACGAAGACGTGGAGCCTCGGTGGACTGTTCTAAAAAAGGCTCTTTTAGACACCCAGGAGATCGACATCGGGTATGTACAAGCCTCTAAAAAACAACAGTGGATGACGGACAAGATCCTTAAACTCATGGATGAGAGAAGAAAATACAAAACCACAGACATTAACCGATACAGGGAGCTGAATAGGGCGGTCAGATCGGAATGCCGGAAAGCAAAGGAGGGTTGGCTAGCTGAAAAGTGCAGTGAAATGGAGGCACTACAAAATAAGCACGACTCGTTTAATCTCCACAAAAAGATCAAGGAATTCACAAACACACAACGCAAACAGATCCGCGGTATTCTGAAGGACACTAACAACAAGATTTTAGTGAACGTTGAGGAAAAGATAAAAAGATGGAAGGAATATGTTGAGACTCTCTTCAATGACGCACGACCCTATCAACCACCTCTAGACCATGATCTCAACGAACCCAGTCCTGTTATCACGATAGAGGAAGTGAGACGTGCTATAAAAATTCAAAAAAATGACAAGGCTGTGGGACCAGACCAGATTTACGCGGAAACCTTGAAATTGATCGTCGATGCAGATGATACAGGCCTGAAACTTCTTACATCTTTATTCAACTCAATATACGAAGCTTGCTAATTACCAACGGACTGGTTGAGATCAACGTTCATCACCTTACCAAAAAAACCTAACGCTTCCCAATGCGACGACCACCGAATGATAAGCCTGATGTCTCACGTTCTCAAGGTCTTTCTCCGTATCGTCCACACTCGTATATACGCCAAGTGTGAGAGGCAGGTTGGCGGAACGCAATTTGGATTTAGGAACGGTGTGGGCACACGTGAGGCTCTCTTCTCTCTCAACGTGCTCACACAGCGATGCAGGGACATGAATGTCGATGTGTATGCCTGCTTTATTGACTATCGAAAAGCTTTCGACTGTGTCTCGCATCAGAAGCTCATCGAGATTCTCAAACACACCGGTATTGATGCCGAAGATCTGAAGATCATTACGCAGCTGTACTGGAATCAAACTGCAGAGATTAGGGTAGAGGGTGCAACATCCGAAGAAGTGGAAATTAGAAGGGGTGTTAGACAGGGGTGTGTCCTGTCCCCCCTCCTCTTTAATATATACTCGGAGGCAGTGTTCCGAGAAGCACTGGTGGACGTGAAAGAAGGCATTAAGATCAACGGCATCCTCATTAATAACATACGTTTCGCCGACGATACGGTCGTGCTCGCCGGCAGCCTACCACATCTCCAGAACATGATGGATCTCATCGGGAACACAGCACACACTATGGTCTACATATGAACGTTGCCAAGACCAAGGTGGTTGTGTTCTCTAAGACACCAAAACAGGCGGTCCTCCGGATTAACAACCAGGTCGTGGAACAAGTGTGGTCCGTTAAATATCTTGGAGCCCTTGTCAACGAGACCAGTGACTCCAAAATGGAAATCAGATCAAGGATAGAACAGGCCAGAAGGACTTTCATCTCAATGAGGACCCTCTTTAGCAGTCGAGATTTGAACCTACAGCTCCGCATGCGCATACTGCGTTGCTGCATCTTCCCAGCGCTACTCTATGGCGCCGAGAACTGGACATACAGCCAATCAATGGAGAGTCGCATTGACGCCTTCGAAATGTATTTGTATCGCCGTATGCTGCGCATACCCTGGGTAGACAGGATAACCAACGAGGAAGTACTGAGGAGAATGGGTAAAGGTAGAGAACTGCTGGCAACCATCAAAGAACGGAAGCTTCAATACATCGGACACGTTATGAGGGGAGAACGTTACGACATCCTCCGACTCGTCATCGAAGGAAAAATCGACGGTAAACGATCTGTGGGTAGGCGACAGAACTCGTGGCTAAAGGATCTGCGTCGATGGTTTGGACGGACATCTATAGAGATTTTCCGAGGTGCAGTTTCACGCACCATTATAGCCAGTTGGATCGCCAACCTCCGAAGGGAGCCGGCGTCCTAAGAAGAAGAATATTGGAAGTACGGACCAATCAGAAGAAAGAAGCTTGATAATTTAAGAAGTCAGCAAGAGGAGTCGCTTTGTTTGTTTTTGAAGATATGATTTCAACATCTTAAGATGAAGAGCAAGGGAACTAAAATTGATCAGATCTACTAATAATTATGTAAAGTCTGTTCATAGATATAAAAAAGTGACTAACTGATACGAATTAAGGAAAGACCCGGGCAAGCTGTAAGAATGAAATGTGGCCGAAGATACTAAACAACACTTATTTTTTTATGTATGTATTTAGGTTTAAATCTAAAATAAAATTGAAAATTATTTTTATTACCTACTTAAATTACTTAAAATTATTCACACAACATTGTCCGCTACAATGACGCTATTGGGAGGAATGTTTGGAACTAGTTTGTTTTTAAACCAACTTTCAAATAAATCACCGGTGGTGTCTTCATGGTAATCCGGAGAAGAATCTTTAATATTTTTCGCAGACAGAGAAGGTCCATTTGGAATCTTTGGAGGCAGCATGCAAAATAGTTATTCTTTTACCTCTTTTTGATGACGCGTTTGTTTTACACTAGTCAGTTGAGTCAACCCAACCCTTTTCCGGGGTATCATAAGTGTCGAACCAGGTATCATCCAAGTAAATAATTGACCTTTGTTGTTCTCTGTAAACTCTAATTTTTCTAGACATTCCAGATGCTTGCTTGCTGGCACCACGTTCAATGAGAGTCGAATAAACATTGTTTATAACTCCCTTAGTCTCAATAGAATGGTGTTTTCTACATTTGGGCGGGAGCATCTCCTAAGATACATTAGACTCGCACATATTTTGCATAATTCGCACACGATTCAACACACGCTGTATTACACACCAATTAAAAATGATTACTAATAAACTCAAACTAAGTAGTATACCAAACCAAATAATATTAAATTCAGGTAGGTATAAAATTATTTTCTATTACAGACCCCAATTTTACCTGAATTTAAATTCCGAAAATCTTGTTGCATTGTATGTTAATAACCACCCTTGGATAATCCCGTTCAAAAGCAATTGATCCCTTTCTGATATCTATGAACAGACCATACCAGCAATATTGAAAGTACGGACGAACCAAAAGAAAGAACCTTAATAATTTGTAGCTTTGGAAACTATTTATTTATGAACCAGATTATTTTCGGGGTGCAATAATATTTTACTTCTTACTAATTTAAATAAAACCATTTCTAAGTATTCAATAAATAGCTATGACATACCAGCTGAGAATTATTAACATCATTGAGGAAAATCCTCTGCCTACGACATGACAATTAATGTCACGTTTGCTTCCTATTGCCCAAAGTGCTTCACAAATAGTATATTGTTTCTAGCGCAACAATTTCCAGAAATGCCTTTAGCCCAATGATATTTTTGTTCAATTTTCAGAAGCTAATCTAATTCTTGGTCTATCGTATTACACGAAATTTTACTCTTGCGACTTCAATCAAAGGATTAGAGTTTTATTAGGTTATGTGTTCCGCATCAGTTGTATTTCTCAAAAATAATCGGTTTGTCGCGTTTTCTATTACCTTTTATTCCGGCTGTGTGGCGGCGGTTCGAAGAAATAAAGGCAACTTTATTCCCGTGTGACGAAAAGGCTGTACTGACCTGGAATGGGATATTGTTATTTCAGCGAACACACAGTTTGATATCCAATTTTGATCCGCTGCCTGTATATACAGGACGACTGCGAAAATAAATCTGTATAACCAAAGTTTACAGATTTATAACATTGCCTCACTCGCCGCAACTCTACTATCTGCTTCGTTAGAGTCGATTTTTATAACCTCAGATATTTTTCTTAGCGACAAAGACGTATGCAAATAGTTTGAAAACATTTTAAACATGTGATTGTATTTAAAAAGATATTTTAAAGGTAATTGTCGGCAAGTTTACTTGAGCCACTTTGATCATTTTTTATTCTAATCTTGGTTGACTTGCTATCAAATGCGAATTGCCGCTCCAAAATTTGAACTTCCCCCTAAATGTATTTCTTTTTCAAAGAAACTTCAACAGGCTGCTGTAATACTTTTTACAAAATTTCTCGATTCCTCCTGCGTCGGTTTTTGCTGAGTCGAAATTACTGACGTTTCGCCAATCATCCTGTTGGCTTCTTCAAGTCGAAGACTAGAGAGGCTGCGAAACAGTTGTCTAACGTTTTGTTACAATATCAGGAAATTTGATCACATTTCACCGTATTATCGCGAATTCGGATGGCTTAAATGAGACTAAATGTTATTTCTCCACTTGTGTACATTAATCTTTAATATTGAGCAGTCCGAGCATAATTCTCTGTACACTGTTCAGCGGTACCGCACTGCCATCTGTCAGTGTTTCAATAGCAATGAGGCCGAAAGCAATCCTACACTTACCAGTGTTGTCTTTCCTTATATTCAAATTAACACTGACCACATATCAAAAGTTCTAAAGAAGTATAACGTCAAAACCAGATTTATCACTTGTCACAGTTGTGCTTCCTATAAGCCGGTGCAGAGTAAAATGCGAGCCAGTTTCAGTCAAGCTCTGAAGGAGCCAAGAGGATGATTGGCGAAACGTTAGCAGGTTATAAACAAATATATAAGCCGGTACAGAGTAAAATGCGAGCGAGTCCCAGTTAAGCTCTGAAGATGCCAACAGGATGAATACAGATGTTTTGTAAAAAAAGTGTATAAATTTTTATAACCTCTCTTTCACATTGATCAAGTTAATATAGTTTTAATTAATCTTTTAAAAGCATTTAAATTGTCACACTCCTTAATATTTTTTGGCAGCCTATTAAACTCTAACAAAGCTTTATTGCATTGCTCTGTTTTGTATTTTCTGAAGTTCCGTTAGTCTTAGTTAGACCATAGTTGGGTATACTTAACAATAAAGTTGAACAATATTCCAGATGTGGCGCCGCCAAGCTATTGTAAAGTGACAATTTTGTATAATTTGATTAAATATTTCACATCAAAATTTAATTGTGGATCTAATATAATTCCCAAATATTTTATATGTTTCTCATACTGCAAATTAACGCCATTTATATTAATATTAACACTCTCCAGATCCAAACCACTCAATGTATGTTTTTTGCCATACAAACCTTCGACTTCATGACATTAATGCTGAGATCATTATTGCACAGCCATACAAACACTCAATACAGGTCACCATTGATATCTCGCTGCATTTCTTCGATATTGCTACCAACGGTACATATCATGGTATCGTCGGCAAATAATGTAATTTTGCTGTTTTTCACAACTTGAGCTAGATCATTAATATACATAAGAAATAATAATGGCCCCAAAACAGTCCCCTGTGGTACCCCATGATCCACGAAGATAGACTCTTACACAGATGTCTCATACTTTACTATTTGTGTTCTGCCAGATAAATAAGATTTTAGCCAATCCAGGGTAGTTAGCTGGGTAGCTTTACTAGATCTCGCCACAATAATATTTTATACTGTTTTGTTTCTTATTTTTTATAATTACATTCTTATTAATATTATTATTATGTCACCTCTGCCGGACTTGGGTAACCCCAATTTTTCGCAAATTTTCCGCTTCCTTGGAGATGGAAACTCTTATCTGTCCCAAATAGCACAATCAATCAACTAATTT